AAGAACAGGCTGAAGTTCCCCTTGCCAAGTAAAGGGTCCTGTCTCAGCCTCTGCTCACATGAGATCATGAAATGGAAGCTTCTGAAATTTTGCTTTCTCGTGCTAACTGCTGAAAGCAATTTCTTCCTAGCCTAATAAACAGCTCTCTAATCTCTACAAATTGCAGTGCAGTCATACATTTTTGTGCTTATCTACTCATATGTAGTTTTTTCTCTAAAACTGTGCAATTAAAAGGCCATCCTTGATTTAGCAATATCTATCAAAGTTTAAAATGCATATATCCTTTGACCCAGCAAGTTCCATCTTTAGGAATTTCTCCTACAGATAAACTTGGCTGTGAGCAAAATGGTATTATGTAAAAAACTATTAAGTACTGCGTTAATGAAATAAAAAACACTGGAAACATAAATATCCAGTAAGAGAAAACCACTTAAAGAAATTACGGTGCATCCATAATGGACTACTACCCCAACCCTTAAAAAGAGTGACGTGGCTCTATAGAAACTGATACCGAACTATCACCAAGATATATTAACTAAAGAGAGCAAACTTTGCAAATACGCACAGTATGTTACTGTTTGGTAAAAAAAAACACACACCTTTGTGTGTGTAGACACATACATAAAATATATACATAAACACATATAATAATATGAGGTATCTAGAAGAGTCAATTTCACAGGAGACAGGAAGTAGAAGAGTGATTGCCAGGGGCTGGGGGAGGAAGGAAGAATGGGGAGTTATGGTTTAAAGGGGACCATTTCAGTTTTGCAAGATAAAAAGGGTTCTGGAGATACACAGTGGTGATGGTTGCACAACAATGAGAATATACTTAATGTCACTCAACTGTACACTTAATAATGGCTAAAACAGTAAATTTTACGTTATGACTATTTTAGCACAATTTAAAAATTACACACACACACAGATTAATAAGAAACTGGTAATGATGACTGCCTTCAGGGAGAGAAATGGATGTCTGGGGACAGAGTGGCAAGGAGATCTTACACCATGTAACCTTTTGTACCACCTTTTTCATTCCGTACTATATACCTAACTATTCTAAAACATCATTAAAAAAAACCCTCAGCCTTATACAAGAAGCCTTTTCCTTAATCACAAATCATTTATATCATTTCTTTAAGTAAAAAAAAAAAAAATCAGGATTCCACTTCAGTTTTGAGGGTATTGATTAGGTTTAAATGATACAAGTTGCAAAAAATTACACTTGTTCCCCTAAGATTATATTCACCAAAATCCTGTCTTTATTTTTATCAGCTATTACAGAAAGCTTCAAAATCATCATAGAAGAAAATTACCATTTTTATCAGTACGCAACTTTTATTCCATCACAACCAAGCCAGCTGAATATAGAACTATTTTAACAGCAAAAAGCCCTCATCATAAATCAAGACACAAATCAGACTTCAATTACATGAGTTAGAAAACAAACTATGCTTATGTTGCAGTCTACCCTAAAGCTTTAACTTCTATGTCAGAATTTAAAACACACACATGCACACACACACCCTCTGGATTCCTCCTAGTTTATCTAAAACCTACTTTTGTGAAGATCCACTATTTTCTTGAGTCTTCCGGAATGAGCACTGTAGCCATGCAGTTGGCATCATGACTTCTGTAGCCTACCCCGCCACCCCTTGCCTGGTCAAGAAGGTAGTACTTGCAGGGCCCAGCACCATCCCTGGCTCAAAGCAGGGGCTAAAATATTTGTTGGGTGAATGAATAAATGATTATCTGCTGACAGGCTTGCCATCAAGCCTCACAAAGAAAAAATTCAGAAAGAAAAAAGTAAGAGATGCTTTGTTCACCTGAACTCAGCATATGATACACCAGATGAAGCATATGAAGACCAGATGACTGGTTCACCAAATGGCTATGATACAACTGGCTAGGTGGGCTCTAGACCTCATCCCACCGCAAAGTTAAATACAAAAACAAGTATTTTAAATACCACACAAAAAACACAGGACAACTTACCTATAAGATTCTTTTGCATGTATCAAATATGTATATATGAATATAGCACATCATCAAGTTTTTTAGGAAGAAAGGAAATACAGATGCACATTGTCATGTTTTTAGAGTAGGAAAGGACTTTCTAAGTATAAAAGCAAAAGAAGAAACCATAACAGAAATTTTATATATCAAAAAGACAAGCAGGATCAAAAGGTACATGACATGGGCTTCCCTGGTGGCGCAGTGGTTAAGAATCCGCCTGCTAATGCAGGGGACACGGGTTCGAGCCCTGGTCCGGGAAGATCCCACATGCTGCAGAGCAACTAAGCCCGTGCACCACAACTACTGAGCCTGCGCTCTAGAGCCCGCAAGCCACAACTACTGAAGCCCGCGCACCTAGAGCCGGTGCTGCACAACAAGAGAAGCCACCGCAATGAGAAGCCCACGCACCGCGACAAAGAGCAGCCCCTGCTCGCCACAACTAGAGAAAGCCCACGCACAGCAACAAAGTAGGAAAAATATCTGCATGATGACAAAGAATTAATTTCCTTAATACATTAAGAGTCCTTATAAATTGACTTAAAAAGAAATATCCCGAGGGAAGGATAAATGCAGAATATGAACAGGCAATTCACAAAGACCAAATACAAATGGCCAATGACTACTGACATTCAACGCCATTAATAACCCAAGGAGCACAAATTTAAAAGATGGATATCCAGGGCTTCCCTGGTGGCGCAGTGGTTGGGAGTCCGCCTGCCGATGCAGGGGACACGGGTCCGTGCCCCGGTCCGGGAAGATCCCACATGCCGCGGAGCGGCTGGGCCCGTGAGCCATGGCCGCTGAGCCTGCGCGTCCGGAGCCTGTGCTCCGCAACGGGAGAGGCCGCAACAGTGAGAGGCCTGCGTACCGCAAAAAAAAAAAAAAAAAAAAAAAAAAAAGATGGATATCCAATTCTGGGAGGGTATGGGGAACTGGCACTTTCTAAGACTGTCATGGGAAATGGGATAGACATTTTGGAAGGTGATGTGGTAGTACCCACCAGTAACTCCAAGTCTAGGTAGCCATTCTTCAAAAAGACTGGCACATGAGGAAGTTCAATCCAACAGCATCTTAAAAAGTGAACCACTGGGAAAACCAATAGGGGGACAACACATGACAGTAAATTGGCACCAAACCACGCTGCTATTAAACAGAAATGAGGCAGAGAAACGCATCACATGGATAGATGCAGAATACGTACAATACCATTCTTGTTTTGTCAAAAATACGAAAGGTGCATATTGGTGTAGCCTGAGAAGATGATTCAGAAGGATCTACGTTAAGCTATTAACAGCAGTTACTCTGGGTAGTGGGTACGGAGAGTAATGGGGAGCTTTCGCTTTTTTACTTGATATACTTTAAAATGGTTTGAACTTTCTATAAAAAGCATGTATTATTTTTATAATTTCTTAAAAAGGAAGAGAAAAATAGCAAGATATCAAGCACTTATCTATTAAAAACAGGTTCTGTCCTTTGAGAATTACCTTCTAAGTTCCTTGAAGCTCAAATGGCCGTGTCTTTCCCATTCATAAGTAATAAGAGATATTTTTAAAAACATCTCTTCCTTTCTACATTTCTTAGAAGAAACTGTACAGAGTCACCACTGTCTTCTAAAATCCATTCGTAATCTGAGAAAAAGACTATTAAAACATAAATCACCCCCTTAGGCCTAATATCTATCAGAAGAAACCCATTCACTGCCTATGTTACATTTAGTCCACACAATTTCTGAGACAATGCACAAAGCGCCAGCCACAGAACTCCCACCAGCATAAATACGTGGCGTACAAAGAACGCCCTGTCGGCAGGGCCCAGAGCACAGCCCGCAGCGGTAAACGGGAATGACAATTTGAGTCACAGGATCAGGAGTGAAACCCAACTTGGGACTTGGAGGCAGTGTGATGCTCTTCACTTCCTTCTACACCTTTTATTCTCTGCCACCCAAACTCTGCCCCTCGCACAGCCCCGAAATGGGCGATCTGTTACGGATGTCCACACGGCTTTACACTGAGGCGTCAGAAACCACTAGAGAGATACAGCAAAGTGCTACTTGAGGGTCTCAGCTGGAATCACAATGGCAGCATATGTGTAAACTCACATTTTTTCTTAGGAAAAGAAATGGAAAAATCAAATTAGAACGTTCTGTCTTACCACATGGAATGTTTGAAATCCGGATGTCAAAACATCAAATGTGGAGTGACCCCTACTCTAAAAAAGCTTAAGATATTGAGCCAGACAGTTGAGAAATTAGGGAACCACTCATTTTTACGAAATTAAAGTCCACGCAGTGGCGCCAAAGTAGCCCAAAGCGCAGCTGATAGAGCCTCTGAGTGTCAGACTCAAATGACTTAGCTTCCCAGCTTTTCAAAAGGCATTCATTCTGCTCTAGAGTCTCAAGAGCCAGAAGTGTATCTGGGCGTTCTCTGCAGTCCCCGTGGGAGGAGTGTGGCAAGCACACACCATTAGCCATGGGCTCCGCTGTCTGGCAACAGCTTTCAGGATGTCATCCTTCTAGGGGACCACACACCAGTTCCCACGTCTGAAAATGCATTACTGCCACTCACTAATGTTGACCAGGAAGTCATTTACCCAATACCAAAGCAAACAAAGCACAGTGCTGAAGGCCGCTAGGCGACAGCAGTAGCGGCAAGTGAAGAGCTCAGTCAAAGCGCTCTCAGCTCAGCTGACCTGCTTGAAGGTGAACTGAAGGTGCAGGTCACCAGTTCCGGCTCTAATCTGACACCCGCCCCCAGATCACACTGTGGCTACCAAGTAGCCCTACCCAAACTGACCTTTCAGGGCTCAGGGAAGTGACTTTTTTTTATTATATGGCACAGTTTGGCACAGTTATGTCTTTAGTCTTTGGGGTACTTTTATACTGTCCAAGAGTAGTATAACTTGTTTTATTCCTTTTTTTTTTTTTAAAAACAGATGGCCAAACCAGGACATATACTAAAAAAAAAAAAAGGAAGGTTACTTACCTGAGCCCTAACATTCCAGCTACCATGGAATCTTGTTGGAGCTGGTCTACAGAAGCAAGATGTATTCTGGGGAGTCACATGTCACATCAAAGCAGGAACTGGTGAGTCTGTATTTTTATGGAGCCTAAAACAAAGAAAATCGTAAGTTGAAAGCCCCCATTGTGCTCCACGACCTTTTTCCCAGGGCTATTTGGGACATTTTGAAGATAAACATACAGACAAAGTACTATGCTATCTCCCGGCTTACCTAGCTAGAAACAAAGAATAAACTGCAATTTACTGACATATAACACACGGTACTAAAATAAAGGAAAGACTCATGCATGTTAGAACCGACACTATCACAGGTCTTGTCACCTCTGAGGGAAATTTTGACACTATAAGACATACCGTTAGTAGCGATCTCTGGTTAGTACTTCTTGCAACATGTCATACAGAAATACTCAGGGAGAGAAGACATGTTCAAGAGAACATGCAACATCAAAATGTCATCCCAAGAAGAACACATGAAATCCAGAGGCAAAGTCTCCCTTCATTTTAAAGCAGCTGAAGTTGCAACAAGCTGCTGTAACATTACATAAAGGGGCTTTAACCGTGAGAGAAAAAAGGCAACACCAACAGAAACCAAGTGCCCTGGGAGATCCAAAGCTATCCTCAAAAATACACAAGTCTGTTTTAGAGCAATCACGTTTAAGCCCCTCAGATCAGGAAATCGAAATGTTCAACAAACTGGGTTAATAGCTTGATAGTTTCTATTTTGCTTTTGAACACATGTTCAAAAAAGGTCTTTTGTAACTCTATTTTTTATCAAGATAACCGTCATTTCCTTGTTAAACCTAAACTGCCCCATATTAGCTAATCTCTGATACCTTGCTGGCCCAAGAGTGGCACTTTTATCTTTAGACTAAAAAAAGCCTAGAGTGTATAACTTAGAGACTCTTCACACAAACAATTACTCATGTAATCAAACCCAGAGGAAGGGCAACACCAACCAAGTCTTTTACTGCTGGTCTGTAACTACCAGGATGGTACCTGGAATTATCTGTTGAGGTGCAGTGAGGCCTTATAATTCCCTTAAACATTCGAGCCATAGAACACTTTGAAATCCCAGAAGTCAAGGTTACAGTATTACTCAGTTAGCCATATAATAAAAATCAAACTGGCACCCTGGCTGGGAGGCCCTGGAAAAGCCACAACTTCTCACAGCTGCATTTTTTTTTTTGGTAAATTGCATTTTTATTTGTAAACTGAGGGAGCTAGACTAAGGTTCCTTCTAGCTCTGAAATTTTAAGATCTCTGATAACTCAAGATTCCATGGAGAAAAAAAAAAGAGCCAGCAAATGAGAGCACTTAGGTGAAGACCCAATAAAGCAATGATTTGCAGGTCCATATACATAGTGCCCCCATCTCTTAGGCACAGAAGCCAACTGAACCCTTCCTAAGGATTGCTCCCAAGAGTCCAGACCTCTGCAGTACTGTAAAACAGCTATGCTAAAGACACATTCATACACCAGCAGAACCAACGCAAGTGTGCCTTGAAGAAGTGAAAAAGGCCAAGGCTTTATTCTGTAATGGAACGGTCACAACCCCCCTTAAACATGGGAGTGGGCATGCCCTGCCAGCCCCCCAATTCCCATTCCCACTCAGTTCCCCCACACACCATACCTACCATCAAAGGGGTGGAACCAGGTATTTAAGCAATGGCATGCAAATCAAGCTTTCAGTAAGAAGAGCTTCCTTGCCAGAAAAAGGCAGAAGAGACCAGGTAAAGGCAGAAGAGCACAACTTTTGTGTCAGTGAGTCCCAGGAAGAGGAACTCATTTACATCCGTCCTACCCGAAATGAGGTAAAGGCACAGCGGTGACAATGGCAGTTTGACTGGAGAGAGCTGGTACAGAAGCATTGAGGACAAGGTCCTTCCACTGGAGCGGCAGTAATGCTCTACCCAAGAAAAAAGGTTGCGTCTGCCGGCCACACGAGGCTGGTCTGCATGCATGTCACCAGAGCAGAGGGTGGTGAGAACAAGCAGGTGTCCTGCCACACTCCCTGGAACCACCAGTCTAGGACCAATGCTTTACTACTTCTGCACTTAAAACACTAGTTACTACAAATGCCAAACATTTTCTGTGCTCCTCTTCTTCTCATACATAACTTGGGCAGGCTGGCCACAAACTGCTCTTAGCCAATTAAAAGCTTTTCACTGATATTCACCTTTATAAAAGATTACAGGGCTTCCCTGGTGGCACAGTGGTTAAGAATCCGCCTGCCAATGCAGGGGACACGGGTTTGAGCCCTGGTCCGGGAAGATCCCACATGCCACGGTGCAACTGGGCCCGTGCGCCACAGCTACTGAGCCTGTGCTCTAGAGCCCACGAGCCGCAAGTACTGAGCCCGCGCGCCTAGAGCCTGTGCTCCGCAACAAGAGAAGCCACTGCAATGAGAAACCCTTGCACTGCAACCAAGAGTAGCCCCCGCTCGCCGCACCTAGAGAAAGCCCGCGCGCAGCAACGAAGACCCAACACAGTCAAAAATAAATAAATTAATTAAATAGATGTTTTAAAAAAATAAAGAAAAGATTACAGGTTCCAGGAGACATCATTTATAATGTAAATAGTCTGGGCAGGTGTATTAGTGGTGGAAACCGCCCTCGAGTAAGGAACTGACACTTTTCCGTCTGCTCTTCTTTATTCTAGGTTCAAGAAGCGAGCTTCTCATGCCATCTCCACATGGGGGAAGGGGTATTTGGGTGGGGTAAAATCATATTGGACTCATCTAGCCACTTCTGTCAAATTCCACAGCTTGCCTCCCCACCCCACTAAATTCAGCCACACAGAGGCAGGGCAGGCAGGGAAACAATGGCTGTGGCTGGAAATTGCAAATAGAATGCAAAATTGTATTCTAACCCTCCTGAAACATAAGCAGCGCAGCGCAAAAGTTGGAGTACGGTTGGACTGCATCATGCTCTACCAAGTGAAACAAAGACCCGGGACTCTACGTTTAAAGCATTCCAGGCAAATCTGTAACAACAAAAAAAAGAGCATGGTGTGACAGACCAGTACTGGCAAGAAAGCCACAGAAGGTTTCTTCAAGCTGTTAGGACATGATGACTTCAGATGCCACCAATCACTTTGCAGAGAAACTATATTCTGGAAGCTGTCTGTGCAGTTTAAAGGGATAGGGATATGATGGAACAACTAACTGGAGGGGCACCCAAGGAGGCTAATGCACTGCCAATGACGCAAAACAAAGCAGAGCCCTTGTCCTGTCACGTCTCAGGCTTAGACGTACAAACCTTGGAATCTTCGTCAAGTGAGCTTGTGTTATCTGTGTGTGCAGACAGGAATGCACCTCAGTGATCGGCCGGCCACCTGGCTGACATGTCATGAATGGGTATTCTGTGGCAACTTATTCAATCAACTGTACTTCTACTAGATTGATTGTGCCCTTTAAGGTTCTGATATGTCTGGGTAACAAAATAAAAGCAAATGTTTCCTAGGCTCCGTGACTAGGATTTTAAGTAGAAGTCCTAAAAAACCCATAAATAAGCCTATTTCCGTAAATCCCTCGTGGAAATTCCCAAAAGACCAAAAAAAATCCAGATTTTTAAAAAAAAAAAATAAAGATCCAGCATATTTCAAAGGACCCGAGAGGAGAGGTTAATCTCATTGTTAGCTGAAATCACTCAGATGCAGATGAAAATTCCGGCCATGAAACCCGAACTTCTCCTGTATAGGAACTGCCTATTAACAATAAATTTTACTACCAAGGCCCAAATATGCTTCATTTTTGTAATGTAACAAAATGCCTAAAACTTGCCAGAGTCCTACAAAGTGTAAGCCACTCAGCCTCCCAGGCCAGTAGGTTCGGTTCCACAATCACCAACCACCCCCTGAATTTGATCCTACCATCTTACAATTTGGGGCACTGATCCCGCACAGCAGAGACACAACGTGTGAATGGCTCTGCAGAGCCTGTTCCTGTTCCTGGAAAAACCAGAAGCACACATCTGCCTGACCATGAGTCAGGAATATGAATTTTGTGGTGGAGCCCATTTCTGCTGTGACCAATCCACACCGAACACACTCACAACAGAAGCGACGGCCACAGAGGTGTATTCCAGAGACAGCTTTTCCCCCTTGGATCCACACTCAGCAATGCCATGAACGGTCTCCTCTGTAAGAGCAATCTTTAGACTCTTCACAATGACCTTAAGTCTTCAGTGCAAAACCACAAAAACATTGCCACGCCACGAATAAGTCACCTGAGTTTCAGTTTGCGTGACTCAGAACCAAACTAAAAAGAAAATAAACTTTCAGGGACCAACTGATAGGAGCCACAGCGATGCGGTGAACTTGCCCCATCTGGTACTGGTGATCTTGAGCAGGGCACGCTCCAGGACTATGGAAGCCCGTCACATACTATGTCCCACTCCACTTATGTAACTGAAGATCGCCGGCGAAGGGGGGGAGGATGGGAGGGCGCTCGTATTCTGAGGCCACGGCACCCCCAAAGGCCCTGGGGGCGCGCTCCCACCGAAGAGCCTCAGGTGCTGCCGGACACAGTCCCCTACCCACGGCTCCTGATGGCAACTATAACCGCCTCTTTCTGATGAGCTGTGGGGTCAGGAACACAATGTCTAGTGCCTTTTGTGGGTGGACAATAATTCCCACCTACTTGTTCCTGGTAGATGCGAAAGAAACTCGCTCGCAGTGGGGGCAGAAAGTCATGGAATGGGCGAGAAGGAGGGGGAGGCAAAGCCTGGAGATGGGGGTGAAAGCGCAGGAGCCCTTGTGGCGCACTCTCCCGACGGGAGGCGGACTGCGCACGCGCGCCCGTGGGGGGGCCGAGTAACGGGAGAGGGGGCGCGCGAGGGAGGGAGACGGGAAAGCGCGATCCAGGGAGAGGCCGGGGCCGCGGGCGCGCGACGGCGCCTCGGGCCCGAAGCCCCGCGAAGGGCACGACGCGCGCGCGCAGCCCCGACAGGCGAAACCCCGGCGACAGGGGTGCCCGCGGGGCCGGGGGCCGGGATGCGCGCCGAAGGCGGGAGGGCGGGGGGAACCAGGCGAAGGCAGTCCTGGGAGGCCGCGCCGAGGACGGTCACCCGCAAGTGCGGGTAACGGGCCGGGGGGGGGGGGGGGCCCCCCCCCGCGGGAGGGGGGGGGTAGAGAGGAGGGACGCCATCCGCCAGCCGTGTCGCCCGACCCCGCGGGCCCCTCCCGCGCCACGTCCCGCCCCTACCCCCCGCCCCCCAGCAAGGGTCCCCACCCGCGGCCGCGGCGGTCCCACTCACAGTCTCTCCTCCTCGCCTCCTCCTCCTCCTCCGCTCGGCGCGGCAGCGGCGGCGGCGGCCATTTTCCGGACGGCTTTTACCACAGCCCTCTCTCCGAGAGGAGGGAGCGCGCGCGCCGCCGACGCCGAGACCCCGCACGGCCGACGTCGCGCCCCGCCCTCCCGGTCGGCCTGTGCGCTGCTGCACCTGCGCGTCCGCGCCCCGCCCCCGGCGCCGCTGCCAGCCGGCCCGCCATTGGGTGCGGCGGCAGGGGCGGGGCGGAGCCTCGGCGGCGACGCCTCCAATTGGCGGGAGTTCGTGTCCGTTCCGGCAAAGGAAAAAGGGGCGGACGCCCCTTCTAGCTGCCGATTGGCTGCCGACGGCCGTCATTTGGGGAAAAGAGGTGGCTTGGGTGCCGAGGGGCTGGTTTAGTGGGCGGAATTTGAATATTAAGGATTAATGGGATGCTGGGGCAAGTGAAGGCCTAGGCTCGGGACGCCTGTTTGTGCGGCCATCCCGGGCCCTTGACCCGCTGTCCACAAACGCACGAAGTACGTTACCATAAGCCTTTCACAGCACCCACGTTTTCTCAACATCACCACCTTCAGTACAAGCAGCAAAGTTGCCTGACATTGTTCCAGCCGAGGGACCTTGCTTTAAGAGGCCTACCCAATGCATTCTTCCATCTGAGCCTGCCTTGTACCACACTCTCAGAGGGGCAGGGAATAAACTGAACAACAAATCACAGCCTTGGCCTTCTTGAAACTCTGGTGGGGGGGAGAGGGTGCATGCCAAGGCTGCACGAGACCTGTCATTGTTGGATGAGACGGTTTGGTGTGGGTGGGCAGAAGGAGTAGTGGGAGCACAAAGGAAGCAGCACTTAGGTCTGCCTGGAAGACGTGATTTGGGACCTAAGATCCAGCAACGCTGGTATGGAAAAATAAGAGCATGAGAAAAGTTTTAGCTAATGGAGTGTTCAGGATAGGACTGTTTGTCAAGGCGACCTTACTCTGATTCCAGCTGTCATCCAATTCATCCAATGCTCTTTGTGCTAGTTCCATGCTTGACAAGGAACCCTCTGACGCTGATGTCACTCCCCAGCCCCCATTCATTTATTAGCTCCCTGTTATGTGCCAGGCACTGTTCCAGGCTCTGGATGCACAGTACTGAACAAGACAGCAATCTAACGTTCTCGTGGGGGAAGACTCATAGTAAACATACAAATAAGTATATAATATAATGTCACATAATGGTAAGAGCTTTGAGATAGATAAAGCAAGGGTGAAGGGGGTGCTATTTAGATATCCACAGGCTTTTGCTCTCATTTTATTCCCCCATATGGTTATCTGAGGAGAGAAGAAGATTCCACACAAGTTCAAAGGCTCTGAGGAGAGACTATGCCTGGTACATTGGGGAGTAACAAGGAAGTTTATGTGGCTACAGGGTGGTAAGGTATGCGGTTGGAGAACTGGGAGCTTATTCTGAGATGAGAAGCCTTTGGAAGATTTTGAACGGGAGCTGACATCATCAGATGTATGTTGCAGGTGCAGTGTGCAGATCTGTGGTGAGACAAAAGGAGCAAGAGCCCAGTCAGGAGACCCTGACAACAGTCTAGCAGAGGTGAGAGTGGTTTTTAGCTAGGGTGGTAGCAGTGGAGGTTCTGAGAAGTTGTGAAATTCAAGCTATATTTTCAAAATTGAGCAGAAAGGATTGGATGTAGCGTACAGAGAAAGAGAAAAAACAAAGAGGGGTCCTGAGTTTTTGGCCTGAGCAACTGAGTGAATGGGTGATTTCACCATGATGGGGAAAACTGTAGGAAAAGCACATTTTGGGAGGTACAGATCAAGAATTCTGTTTTGGCCATGTTAAGCTTGGGGTGCCTATTAGACCTGCAATGTTGAGACGAGATGTTGAGTAGGTGGTTGAGTCAACAAGTCAACAAGCTCAACATCTAACTCAAGAAACTATAAAAGGAACAGCAAAGTAAACCTGGAGGAAACAGAAGGAAGAAAAATAAGGAGGAGCAGAATTTGATTAAACAGAAACAACCGATTGAGAAGACTGAGAACACCAAAAGCTGATGGTTTGAAAAGCTGGAAACAAAAGCCAGCCCTCTTAGATAGAGAAAGAGAAGACACAAGTAAATTATATTATAAATGAAAAGGAAACATAACCATAGATACAATAGATTATACAATAGATAATAGATAAAACAGATAAATTTTCTAAAAAGGTATTATAAACTACTGTATATCATAATTGGAAAACATAAGCAAAATGAATAAGTTACTAGAAAAGCACAGCTTACCAGAACTGATTCTAGAAACAGAAAGTCTAGATAGACCCTCTATGACCACAAAGCCATTGACTATGTTTTTTTAAAAATCTACCCCTCCCGCCAAAAAAGCTCAGAGAACTTTACAGCTGACATCTACCAAACTTTTAATGATTGGGTAATTCCAATCATAAAAAAGAAAGAAATCTCCCCAAACTTGTTTTGTGAGACTAATATAATTACTATAACAAACCAATGAAAGGAAGACACAGGATATGGAAATAGATGTAAAAATTCTAGACAAATATACTGAACCCAGCAGTATATATTGATATATCCTAACCAAGCTGAGTTTTATTCTAAGAATGCAAAGATGGTTTAAAATTAGAAAATCAAACTTAACAGATTTAAGGGGAACAAATTATGTGATCATGTCAATAGATGCAGGAAAAGCCTTTGATAAAATTCAACACCTGCTTATGATAAAAAAGAAAAACCAGCAGCAACTCAGAGAGCTATGAATAGAAGGGAATTTCCTTAATCTGATCAAAGGTACCTCTTAAAAAACTTAAAGGAAAGGTCACATTTAATGGTGTTAAGGGGGAACAAAGCAAGAAATAGAACAAGATCTATGGTGCAACATCATTCATGTAAAATAAAACACACATCCTTCACCTCCCATTGTCTTTTAAACCTTATCCTTGGAGTTTCATCGTGAGGAGAAAGACCCATTAATCCCAAATGGATTCCCTTGCTGTTAGGACACAGGCATACAGGTCCAGCCAGTAACAAAAAGCTGGAAAAGTAACGGGAAAAAAAAGATTCAACTCACTCTACAAAAATTATAAAACAGCTGGGAATAAACGTAATAAAAAATGCCAAAATACTATATTTAAAAACTGTAAAACTTTACTGAAAAACATAAAAGAAGACCTGAAAAAAAATAGAAACTACCACAATCCTGGAAAGGAAGAGTTGACATAATAAAGATGTCAATTCTTCATAAATTAATCTGGAAATTCTTTGCCTGAGTCAAAATCTAGGCGAGAAGAGTAGGTGTACAAGACTAGATGTCAAGACATTTTTGAAAGAGAAAACCAATGACGAGGGTCTTGCCAAATTCCTTAGTTTGAATAAACGGAACTTAAGTGATAAAATTTCACTCTGCCCTTGAAAAGTAGAAAAATACAGTAGAGTTTAAAGTATTTACTAGTAGAATTTAAAATGGGACATTTTAAAAAATGGGACTACTATAACAATTTTAAAATGCATCCCCTTGAAAATGGGTCTATAGAAGATAAAAAGAAGAAAAATATAGTATAGATAGCAATTGACAGAAAAGCCACAACCTGAGGGATTTTATCTATATGGCAGACAGAGCCCAAACTTCCGCTCCGTCTAAATCCCTTGAACTGATAGAAAAAAATATATATATATATTTAGAGCAAATCCAAAATGACAACAGAAAATGAGAAGGGTAAAACAGTTCAAAATTTTAGAACTAACATCCCAGATGATACCACAAAACATAAAACACACAAATATGTTTCAAACTCTATGGAACATTTCCTCAAGTTGCTTATGAATTAGACCTCTCAAAAAAAAAATCTCAGTAAATTCCAAAACGTAGAAATCATGCATTTCAGTCTCTGGCAACAATACAATAAAATTAAAACTTAAGAACAAAAGTAAAACAAAACAAAAAGTTTTAAAACAGGCTTCAAAATAATTCTTTGGTTAAAGGGGAAACATAAACTGAAATTATAAACTCTTCAGATATGACCGACAATGAGAGCTGTACATATTAAAACCTATGCTGTGTGGCCCAAGTGGTCATCTAGAAAAATTAATAACCATAACTACATTTATTAGAAAAGAAGAAAATATGGGAGAGGGAACAATTGGGAGTTTGGGGTTAGCAGATGAAAACTAGTATATATGTATAGTATGGATAAACAACAAGGTCCTACTGTAGAGCACAGGGAACTATATTCAATATCCTGTGATAAACCAACATAGAAAAGTTTATGAAAAAGAATGTATATATATATATATATATATATATATATGTATAACTGAGTCACTTTGCCATACAGCAGAAATTAACACAACATTGTAAATCAACTATACTTCAATTTAATAAATAACTTATTTAATAAATAAATAATTGTAAATAAAGAAAGAAATATTTGACTGACTAAAAAGAGGAAAATAGATAAGAAATGAATTGATTCTTGCACATCATGCCCACATTTATGCGTGCACACCCACACATACACACACAGGGAATTTTCTTTCTTTACCCTTAGATGCTCACTACAAGAAAAGTATCTAGGAACAGAAAGGAATAGACTCATCAGAGTGAAGAGAATGTGGTGAGGATGGGGGGTTATCCTCAGTTGACACATTTCAACGATTTTTTGGAAAGCAGATGGGAATTAGTTGAATAATAAAGTAAGAAGGAAAAATCCAGCCTAGAATATTTGACAAAGGAACTACAGAGGAGGTGGAGCCAGATATAACACCGGAGAGTAGGCTCAGAATCAGCAGGCACATGGTGGAAGCAACAGAATTAAATGGGTCTGAACACATGGGGATTAATTGAAGGCCCCAATACAGAATGACTGCATCATTTGAGACTTCCTCTCCTCCACCAGACAGCTGAGCTAGCAGCTGGTGCAGGCCTGCAGGGAAAATACCTGACAGTTCTCTAAAGAAATTAAATGAAATGTCTGTAGAGAACTAGGGCTTCCAGCATGGATGTGGGCAACTCTGTTCCTCAGCTCCCTGTTTTACACAGAGGAGTCATAGCAGGAGAATTGACCCATTGCCCTAAAGCCGATTAAATCTGCAAAAGCTATCCAGCCCTTCTTTACTAAACC